AAGAGTGTCCCTCTAGCTTAACTTGTTGTCGCGAATGGGAACCATTTTCTCGATCTCTTTATCTCAGTTGGCTTCCTCTAGTCGTTTCTACGTCTCTCTCCCATACTCATTTCTTTTACCACTTGTGGCAATGCACGATCGCGGATCGATTGCCCACGATACAGGATGCAACGACTGATTGTCTCAAGATCTAGACCGTGGAACAAGGCGCCGCGGTTAAGGTCGCGCGGCATCACCGTCTATGCATATATTTATCGTTTTTCGAAGTTCTCTTGTTACGTCAACTAAATATTACGCCACGATTTCATAACTCTGAATCGAACGATTCAAAAAAACCTTTATTTAATGCGTTGTCAAATAAATTTTCCTACCTGTCGTGTACAACGCACGGCTATTATTTCGTTATTTTTAGAAAACCCACGTGTGTAGTGATTATTTATCGTTCATAACGTATTATTCGCCATATTTATAACCGCGGCTTAAATAAAAAAATTTAGACAATGTTTGTCTTGAAATGCAAACTTTGCAGGAGTTATAATTAATAAGTTATAATTAATTAAAAGTACATACGTCGAAAACAAATCTTTATTCAAGTGTCTTATTACTTTAATTCGTTACTAATAAATTCCATTATATCTTTATACTAGACCATATGTTTCAATAAAAATAGAAACGCCCGCCTGGTGTGAGTAAGGAGGGTTCAAACCCTGACTGAAGTAATATTTTTTTCGTAATAAATTTAAAATAAGGATTATTTAGACACTAACATCCTATCACGGCTCTTTAGTTCTTATCGCATCGAATGTGTGTTTATCACATGACAGCCTTATGAATTTGTTTCAATAAAAATCTTTTTAGAGAAACAACATATTCCCTCTTCTACTATCGATCTAAAAAAAAAAACAAATGCATATGGTTTTCTTCAAATTAATTGCTGTTCTTCATTTCGTATTAAAAGAATATATGATAGCCTCAAAAAATAATTATCAATAAGATTTAAAAAAATTGGGAAAATGGAAAAGGAGATACATTTTCGTTTGTCATAAAACTGCAAGTATACATATACATATATTATTTTGAAATGTATCTATAATTTATTTACAATTATATTAATTTTATACAAAAATCTGTCGTGTATTAAAATATATACAACACGATCACACACAAAGTATTGATATGTACCAGCAGATTGTAGATAGAGCACCGTCTTGAACGAAGTCTATCTTACTTGAAATGATTGTTATTCGCATAAATTCCAATATTTTTCTGCAAAAGGCAAAAACTCTTGCCCACATTGTCATTCATTATTTGCTAATATCGAACAGTGTTTTTTCTATATACAGGGTGAGGCATTTAAAACTGTTTTTCAGAATATTTGGAAAAATACAAATCGGATTAAAAAAAGTTGCAATAAAAGTTGTTCACCTCGAAGAGGGTCATCCATTAACATAAAGTCGACCCCCCTGCACCACCCCCGGGGGCGGAA